AGTTGTTGCGATTTATTTTGATTGTGGCTGGGCTGATCGCAACAGATTTGCCTTTCGAGGCCGTTGTTGCCAGCGTCGACTGTTCCCATCTTCCATCTCCTTGCCGCCCAACACGACGACGAGCTTTGTTCTGCTCGTTGTAGGCCGTGGTGAGACTGCTGCCCTTATTGTACGCGGCATCCTAACGCCATTTACCTCTCACAGTCATTCGGATTGGGTGTTCTAACATAGTCCATGGCTGTTCTTGTACCTCGCGACTGGCAGCAACAACAGGTATATCAGCAAGTTAATATGGACGGAAACAGCACAAATTCTCGACAACGCTCGTCGTCTACCACGGACAGCGCACATCAACATCCGCAGCACCAGCAGCCTCACCATCAGCCTCCATTTTCATACCCAATACAGCAACCACAGGGCAGTTGGACGCCCTCTATATCGGCTGCTCCTTTTTACCCTTCTTTTTATCAAAATCATCATCAGCAGCAGCAACAGCTGTCTCAACAGCCTTACCCGGCTCCAATACCCCAACAATCCCCTTATTTCGACCCAGCAAATGCTCACCTGGCACAGTGGGCATATCAACAAATGTTTTTTAACGCTCAGCACGCTTTTCCACAACAACAACCACGGAATAATGAATATTTTGCTCAGCCACCACCTTTCAATCCATTTCCAAGTGGCACGCCTCCTCCTCATAGAAGTGGCACGGCTGACCATCAGTTACAATCTGGTCAGCATCCACAATTTAATGGTTTTCACCCATACCGCCGTCCTAGCCGCCAACCACAAACTCAGTCCTCTGATAGCGCTGACAGGCGCCAGGTTGCTCCTACACCTCCCCCAAATCCACCATACAAACGTCCAGAAGCTTCGGCTTCTTCGTCTTCTGTGAATTCTACCGGTAGTCGTCAAAGGACGAACAGCAACCAAAGTGGTAATAGCGGTCACAATACCCCGCCAGTCAATAACAGCGGCCGTGTCCGGAACGTATCTCCATCTGTGCCTTCAAATCGTAGTTCTCCTCCGCCTCCTACTTCATCGAATTCAAACTCGACCAATCAATTGCGTATCCCTCATCATCGTGGATCGCCACCTTCCTCTAGCCCCACTCGACCATCAGGTTTCTCCCCGTCTCCCCCAACGTCAACAACGACAACATCGTCAGCCACTGCCTCGGTCATTTCATCAAATACCTCAACTCCACGTCTTGCAAGGCCATCCCCTCTTTCGCAGGGCACATTTACCGCGACTGAACGAAGAATGTCCCGCGATGACAGTGATTTGGTGTTGGATCCCACCCCAAATGTTGGCATGTCCCGTAGTGGTGGCCTAAAAGGCCGTCTACGACGCGCCCTTTCTTTCAACACTGCTCAAATGCTCAAGGAAGAAGCTTCGGATGATGAATCTATCAAAGCATCAACATTCAAGGCCAAATCTACCCTTCCTTCAAAAACAGGTGCATCCGCTATGCCTCGCGCCTCAACGGATGGCCATGATGACAATGCGTCCACATCCACTGTGCAGACGAAGAAAAAGGGTCGTGCCGCGTCTCTGTTCAATGCAAAGATGAACCTCAGCACGGACAATATCTCGCTCTCATCCACTGTCAGCAGCGCAAGCGTTATGATTCGGAAACTTGGGTCTATGGGCAAGCTCGCGAAACGAAATTCTCTCGCCGGTATCACATCCCTCTTTAAGGACAAGGATAAGAAAAAGAAGGATCAAAAGGGTTCAGCCAAAGCGGAGGCGAGCGAGGCAAGCGTTTCGCATGTCACAGCAGAGCTCGATCGTAGCGATTGGACTGTCGGGGCAGATATGAATGGGCTCAGTCCAGCAGCGAAACTTGCAAGGCAGCATACCCTTAAAAGCAACGCCGAAGCTGCAGCAAAGGCCAAGGCTGAGAAGGAGGCCGCTGCAGCATCTGCATCTGCAATCGCAAATGCTGTATCACCTAGTACGGGCTCGTCGTCGGGATCCGCAAACGGTGTCAATGGTGCGGGTGTTCCGACATGGGATAGGAACACAGCAACGAGGCAGGCTTCAGGATCGCCTGTCAAGAAGAGCGGAACTATGCGTGTGAATGAGGATGGGACGAGGGTAATGGTGGAAGATGAAGATGAGGAGAGTGAAGACGGGCACGGGAACGGGCAACAACATTCCGAAAATACTTTCCACGCAGATGGATGGGATGACGATGAAGACTGGGATGGAGCAGAAGTTGGTGAGAACGATGAGGATACGACGATTCGCGTCGGTCTAGAGAGGACGAGCGTCGATGGCGATGAATTTGATCATGAACCATGGGCTGTCAACATTCGACGGAGCGTCGAGAGGATGCGAATGCCAGCGAAGGGCATCTTAAAATGTTCGTTTTGTCTTTTCCTTCTGAAAAAAAAAAATAATCTGGCCTTTGCAGACGCTGAATCTTATGATCAACATATGTATCTCGCTGACGCACCCAACCAAAACCGTGTGCGATCCAATTCCTACAACTCTCATCCAGGACAGAATCATGAATTGGGACCTCTCGCTCGCATCCCTTCTCCTGACCCTGACCACATCGATGGGCTTCACAAGCACCCCCACTCGTCTCACAACACACCTCCGCCTCCCTCTGCTCCATCCCTTCCACCGCTTTCTTTCGACGTCCCGATGTCTTTAGAATCTCCAATACACGATTCCCAACCTCCCACCCCAACCAACGCTCATAACCCTCACGCGCCTCATCCGCCTGAAAAGCCAAACTCCATGTTCAGTCATCCAAACTCGTCGGCCCCTGTTTTGTCCACGATGGCAAATACGTCGCTGATGTTAACACACCGATCTGCCACGGCACCGACTAAGAGATTGGTGTTTGACAACAACTTGTCGGTTTATGACACGTTTCCCGCGTCGGTGTATGACCGCAGAAGCGAACCTGCGACATGGAGTCGCCTGACTCCTGCGTTGGCACAAAGGATCAAGGAAGAACTCAACTCGTACAAGATGGAGGAGATGGAAGTGCATGCCGCCAGTCGTATACAGTAAGTTGTGATTTTTTCCAGGGATTCTTCAAAGGTTGACCTTTTTACAGTACACAATTCTTTGTGTAAGACGGCTGCGCCTCTTGTCATCGTACCATGGCCCTGACTTTAGTTGTTTATGCTTGCCCAAAACTACCTGCATTGTCGACAATGCGTCTGATATATCACTCACCCCACCTGAGTACATACCTCGGTATCTTTCCCCCACTCAAGTGATGGCCGAATCGTATACCCGTAAACGATGAATCGTTCGTACGAAGGAAGAAGTCCAGGCTGGCTCCTGGGCCTTCATGCCCCTTGTTGAAACTACACGGACATCTAAATATGCAGCCGAAAAATTAACCACCTCTACACGTACATTAACCATGCGCACACACAACATATCCCCCTTTCCCACCCCATACATCCACATTCTGTTGGTCGTATTTTCGACTTATATATATATCCTCTTCAATTCGTTGCTCTTTCTCATGATCCTCTGTCAATTGTCCTGTTAAGCTAACATTCAGTGTCATATAACCCCTTGACCCTCATCTGTTCCAATGCATCAAGCCCACGTACAATTTACCCCACCCTCATACCATGTTTGTACTAGAGTGCGTTTCACTCAATGCCATTGACTTGGACAACAGCCTTCCAACCTATTTTGGATCTCAAGTGAAACTAGCGGTATCCAAGGAACAATTTCGTTGGGAAAAGGTGGCCTACCATGACGTCAACCACTATGTCAACCACTATATTCGGTGCTATCAGGGAACTTTTTTTGTCTTCAAAAACGGAGCACATCTGTAATGCCCCAGGGCTGTGGTGTCCTTTATCCCTGACACAATTTGTTATCATCTCCCTCTTGTACCATCCAAATCATTTGTAGTCAAGTGACCTGAAGTAGCGCATTGCCTTGCCACAATCTTTGAAGTTTGTATGGTTCGGGTTGCCATCCAGTTTGAAATGCTATTCGCACAGTCTCTACTACAACATCTCACGGATATATCTTTTGACCTGGGGGTGGGAGAGTAACAGGCGAGGTGTTACTCAGCAGATCATCAGGTTCCTTTTCCAAAGGCCGTTGGTTTTTACTACACTTGAATATCTGCTTCAAATGCCCACCGTAGAAGTTGTACGATTCCCTGCGTCCGATGCGTATGTGGCCGATAAGCTCGTGTTCAAGGATTGCCTGGATATTCTCGTCAAATCTGAAGGCTGTATAAGGTCTATTTCGTGTTTATCTATTCACTTTCCGTCGATCTTACTTTGTTCTGGATCAGCCCTCATTACGGCCTCCAGGTGGAGAATAATCGCACAGGTTATCTCTTTGTTAGTAAGTCGAAAAATTGTCGAAATGTCAATGCCTTTCATCCTAATCGCTAACCCAATACAGTATGGGAAAGTTATGAACATCACATTGAGCTGACGAAGCGCGATGATATCTATCCCAACCTGATCGCCTCAATTCGCCTGGCGCAGTCTGGACCAATCGATATGCAGCATGTCAACTTTGACGGGGATGCGACACGCGCCTTGGAATCACCTGTCACGGAGGTTGTTGTCCTGAGTTTAAAGGAAAGGGCGGATGGAAAGGAGAGCAGGAGCTTGGTCGCTGAGTTGGGCACGAACTTGATCTCGCAGAAGGAATGCCATTCTGTCGTCGTTGGTGAGAGTATGGAGAATAAAGGTGTCGTATTCATGCTGCTGGGGTGGGATTCTGTGGAGGTAAGCATGAATGGTCCCAACGGTTAAGAAAAGAGACTGATTGTCTGCAAGGCTCATGTTAAGGCTGTTAGTGAAGGCGTATTTCCAGAGATTATCGACAAGTTGAATGCTCTCAACGGGATTGAGATTGCACATACAAAGTTGACCAGGTACTCTACATAGGTCTACGGATACATACCTTGAACAATATATGTTGAATTGTATGCCACCGACAGTAAGTGAGAACTGGGGCATATCCTCAAGATTCATTGGAGTAAAAAAACATGCATTAAGAGGGAATCGAACCCCCGGCGGGTCGACGTCAGTCGAATGGCAACGACCCAGGTTACCACTACCCCATTAATGCTTATCAAATCGTTGGTAATGTATTGCTCTATCCAGAAAGACAGGGTTCCGAAGCTACGTCACCGATAGCCACGTCAAGCGAGAGAAAAACACATGGAGAAAGGCATGCAGATATCGTGTGCAAGTCGTCGAAAAAGGTCGTGTTGGGTCGTTCATGCGCGGAGCAAAAACGTGCGTGTCTGATATGATAACACAGTACATACAGGACAGAACGGTGCATGAGGAGATAAAGGAGAATGTCTATAACGCAAATGAAGTTGTAATGACAACGAGGGTAGGGAAACGAGGTAGACTACAACACAAACACCCTTGAAGCGTTTACTCCTCGTGCACAGCACTGGCTGTCGTAGGGGGCGTGGCGCGAGATTGGGAAGAGATGTTGGCGAGGAGGGGCTTGATGACGGTCAGATACGTTGTTTGAGCGCCCTGTAGAGTAAGAGGAGTGCGATAAGAAAACATATAACAAAAAAGAGTAAAAAAAAAAATCACGTACGCGGAAGTAGGGAAGTTGGAGCCAGACAATGAAGATGGTCTTGAGAGTGTAATACCAAGGAACATAGAAGAGGACGAGAGAAGAGGCGAAGCTCTCGAGGAAGTTGAAAAAGCCGAAAACGACCCAGTAAGTGAGCCACTGAACGTCATCGTGGGGAGAAGGGGACTCGATTGCCTTGAAAGACAGATAGGCAGGGAGTGCCCAACCAATCAGGTTTGAGACGATGACTGCGAGTGAGTTGACGAGGTGCAGGAGAGCAAGGAAAGAAAGAACACCGATGACAGCGTAAGTCTTTGGGACTTGAGTACGCTGTTCAATATTGTTGAGGACGGGGTACTTTGTGAGCTGCGGCCGGTGTCGTCAGTGACAGTGACAAGGAAAATAATTCAGAGAAATGTGGACAAACCTCTTTGTCGAGGCGGTCGATGTAAATGGTCGCCTTCTTCTGTGCCTGTACCACGACGGGATGCTGCTGGAATTTTTGTGCGGCTGACATGTTTGTAGTGGAGTTGTTAAAAGAAGAAGAAAAACCCGCGTTTCGTTGCCTTGTTATAATTATTCCCTCAAACACGTGCACAGTCTCATACCCCATCACGTGAACTACCTTACACGCAGACCAGTGCCACCATGTCAAGTTCATACCAGTCCACAAAGGTTTTTCTTTTTTTCCTTTATCACGCCCTCACCATTTAACATCGATAATAGGCTCTGCACGCGGCTCTACCACCGTTTTCACCAATTTTACCAGTCGCGTTGCTTCCATACATTGCTGCGCTTCTCTTGGCTTCAACTTTTGCTCTCGCATTCTACTTTTCCACGTATGTGTCTGCCCAAATTCACCTTATATAACATATCCTTATCATGTCACATACAGTCTGCCAAAGGACACCATCCCTGTCCGCGAGACAGTCGTCGCCTCCACTGCCAGCGTCCTTGCCGGCTTTGGCGTAGTCGCCCTCTTTTGTTCAGTCGGCGTGTATGTCTAGAGAATATACCCAATATATCACCATCGGATTCGCATGCTTTAATTGTTGACACGCCATCCGTGTTTACAACTCGCGCACTACCCAAAGTCAGATCAAGGAAAAACCTGGGATTGGAATGGAACCTACGGTGTAGAAAATTGTCGACCCTTCATCTGCACTTCGAAGCTAAAGGTGATGTCAAAAAATGGCCTAATCAGCGAAGAAGAAAAAAAGGCCAAGCCTGCATACCTGCATTTCCTTGGAGTACGCCGAAAGATGGCCACATGCTGGACACTTTTCTGAGACCTTGTCCACTTTTAAGCTGTCATGTAGAAACATGAAGATAAGCACCACATACCAGTGTTCCTTGATCGCCTTTCTCATGTCGTTTGGTTTGTGTTTTGCGTTTCTGATGCAATGCACTCGGAAAGGCCTCAGGATGAGAACGGGTTGTTATCTCAATGTCTTCGTATGCTGTGTATAATATCAATGTAAACGGTCAAACAAGTGGACTTCGAGTTTAAAACCCACAGCTAGCAGGCTCAGAATGTCCACACTGTTCGCAAATTACGGTGTTTTCTCCATCCTTTGGCAACGCAAGAAGCGTTCCACATGTCGGGCAAAAAAGCAGAGACCCTAGATAATCGCCCTTAGAATGTTTTTTGGGGGGGTAGAGATGATATGAATGGACCTATTTTGTGCGCAACAACTGGTGGAGACATGGTACTGTAGTAGAGGAGTGCCAAGAGAACTGAGGCAGAAGCTGAAGGGTTTTTTCTTTGCATCACGTGTTATCAATTGCCAGTTTTCAACGCGTCGCGTTGCTGTATAGCGGTAGCGGGCAGGATATTGTTACATAGATATAGTTTTACAGAAAACACGCTACGAAGGTGAACCCAAAAGTGTATGATAAGCTATTCGTATGTCCCGCACAAACTCGTAGAATCCTCCCGTTTCATTGAGCGTCTTGAGCAACAATGGCAGGGCAGGAAGAGGCGGGGAGGCAGTAGCAACTAAAGAAGGAAAGATTTAGTCAATATCAATGTCAGATGAGTCCTCCCTACCTTTATACCCCTGTGTCACGTCCAGGACAAGACTACATTCACGATCTGGATGAATGAAGTCGAGATGCGCAAAGCGAAGGAGTACTTGATCAGCCCCAATCCCTTCTATAATACACCCGAGAGCTCTCTCTATGGCTTCGACTCCTGGTGAGATGCGGGCAGCGTGACTACTAAGTGTGTTTTGTTCTGTTGCCCTTTCTACACAGTTCCAGTGAGAAAGAGAGAGATTGAAAGACGGAAATAACGAACCTCTACGAAGATTATCGGTGATTGCGCGGTACTGTTCAATCTCTGACTGAATAGTTTGGCTTTTCTCGCGAAGAGATGCAAGCTGTCGTTTCAACGCTGCTACCTCCAACTCTGCATCCTTCCGCTCCTCTTTTTCCCGCTCGAGGGCAGCGATGAGATCAATCTCACGAAGCTTACATTGGTTGGTTTCAGCTTCAATTGCTTGCGTCTTTTCAGAAATACGTTTCCTCTCAGCGACGTGGGACGAGCGACGCTCCGAAAGGGTGGTCAGAGCTCTATTTTTGTAGGACGAGACTGCTTTGAGAAAATTGTGAGTGGAAGTCTCGTAGGCAGATATACGGAGGTCAATATGAGGGGCGTCGGATTTAAGAAGAGCGGTGAGATCGATTTGTGGCAAGCGCAGACCGTGTGTCGCCATTGGAAGTGAACAAGAGACGCGATGGTCATGTGATGGCTTAACTTCGCGACGCGATCTGATCTGAATCTGATTTGAACACCGACAACGATGAAGGATCCCTCCCCGTCGTCTAATGCTGCGCCGCCTAAGCACGATGGAATGCCGCCTTATCGAGATATACATATGGAGACAGCCAAGGGGATTCCCTCAAGCCTGGGTGGCGGTTACGTTGATATTCAGATGGGCACAGCAAAAGGCTTGACGATGGGCAGTCATGACATTACAATGGAGACAGCGAGGGGTGGAACAACGGTCAGACAAGGTGCAGCATTGAAGATCTGGGAGAAGGAACTATTGGAAAGTGCAGAAGTGAGAAGAAAGGCGGTGGTTGCACAGCTGTGTAAGCGTTCATAATGCTTTTCCTTGTTCGTCGTCGTTCATGTCACGCCTTTAGTCTTTCTGGATTATTATTTTCAAAATCTAGGCTATCTTGCAGCTCGAAAGGATCGCCGTGCAAAGTTTGATGCAGACACCAAATCCCGCGACCTAAAAGGTGCAGAGTACACTAAAGAGTTCAAAAGTTACTGCGGTCGCGAACGAGTCTTGCTTCGTCGAAGACGCACAAAGCTCAAGGTCGATCAGTTCCACATCATTGCTCAAGTGGGGCAGGGAGGATATGGTGAAGTTTTCCTTGCACGCAAGCAGGATTCAGGCGAGGTCTGCGCACTTAAGAAGATGAAGAAAAGAACTCTTCACAAAATGGACGAGGCAAGGGCTTCCCCTGTTTTTCAGCAATGTTCAATTATTTACAGACGGTACTCTGATAGGTCAGACATGTGCTTGTCGAGCGCGATATTTTGACTGCGACCAAGACCCCTTGGCTCGTACGCCTCCTCTATGCTTTCCAAGACCCAGATCATGTCTACCTCGCTATGGAATACGTCCCTGGCGGAGACTTCCGCACTCTTCTCAACAACTCTGGCGTCTTGAAAGAGGAACATGCTAGATTTTATATCAGCGAAATGTTTGCAGCCGTTACCGAACTCCATAAGCTTGGTTATATCCATCGCGATCTGAAACCCGAGGTATACTACACTTGCTCTAAGACCCCGATTTTTCTTCTGAGCCTCCCAAACGAAGAACTTTTTGGTAGATGGAACTGGTCATGTTAAGTTGACAGACTTTGGCCTTGCAACAGGGGCGCTCAATCCCAAAAGAATCGAATCCCTCAGGATCAAGGTTTGGGGCTCATAGTGTCGATCGCTCGGTATTGACTTGGCTCATCCTTCATTTTCAGCTGGACAAGGTCAAGGATAATCAAATCGTACACCGTTCAACGATTGAACGTCGCTCGCTCTATCGATCTGTCCGAAACGAAGATCCCCGGTATGCGGACTCCATCGTTGGCTCGCCTGATTATATGGTAAGCAATGTGTCAGTCGTTGGTCTGATGCATTTGTCATGACCTTGTTAGGCTCCAGAAGTTCTTCGTGGCAAACCCTATACTTATTCTGTTGATTATTGGTCTCTGGGTTGCATCCTGTTTGAGTTTCTTGCAGGATTCCCACCTTTCAGTGGTGGGACACCGGAAGAGACTTGGACAAATCTTAAAAATTGGAGCAAGGTGCTACGACGACCGGAATACGATAAACCTGAGGACCTCATTTTTAACCTTACGGACATCGCCTGGGATGCCATAACACGGTATATACTGTTTTTCAGAAGGAATTCCCGATTTCCTTGCTAAAATTCCTTTGCCAGTCTCATCTCGCACGCGAGCGTGCGCTATTCGACTCTCGATCAGGTGTCTGCTCACCCCTTCTTTTCTAAGGT